ATATTAGTAAATCTCAACTGACCATCAAAAGGTATGTCACCTCAAACCGTAGTTTCTTGTCCTTGCTGATTCCAGCCAGGGAGAGTAATCACACTGAGCAAGATGATAAGCCATCCTTGATCTTGTATTAATGCAATGCAACTACCATCAGTGAGAACTGCATTTATTACTTCTATTTTCAAGGATCCTTTGAGTGAGTAAAAACATATCTCCATCTGGTGAGTAAGTCAGGACTCAAAGTTAGGGAAAATTATCAATGGCCATGTCCCCCTGCTACTTTGCATCCAGAAAGAGACTCCATGGCAAAGATAAGAATATCTACAGTCCATAGAATTATTTGGCTCTCTTTGACAATTGTTCCTGCAAACCTCTTTCTCAAAGCACAGCGAGCCGGTAAACTCCAAATTACAGCATGACTTTCAAAACTAAATGCCAGCGCATTCCCTAGTCAAATTACCCTACCAAAATATAAGTAATTCAATCTGGGTGGTCTCCATCTTTACTAATTGTACATATTCTATATCTCTGAATATCTTTTGTCATCCAAAGGATTTGCCCAAACATGTGCTTCTATACCATTATTTTCAAAGACTGGATTCTCTGTGTGATTGGTATGTCATAACTGATCAAGTAAATATATTCATCTTAGATTATTTATAAGAAGGTTTACAGTTGAACTACTCTGCATCTGAATACTTTTATCAATGTCTGGTCTTCAGTCTTTGCAAACCAATCCTCTCTATCTTCCTTAGCTATGTAACTTGAGAAATTGTTTGGAGTGAGGTTGCCTATGAAGGACTCTTCATTAAATAGAGAAAATATTTTCCAAAGAGTTCGTGTGACCTTCGGTGCTACAGCTGATATGTTAGGATTGCCAATGAAACTCTAGGTGTGTTTGTGATTAAACTGTTTTTGTTTGATATTAATGACGATAATCTTTAACCAAGGTCAAAGCCAAAATAAACAAGACTATGGAAGCAGAAAATTAAAGACATAATAACTTTGTAAAGATAAAGATTTTGGGATTGAAATCAAATCTCTTCTCAGAGATTCATATAATGTCAAATGTTTTATAATGAGTGGTTTGCTGTTATGCTATTACTGAAATAATTCATAGATATCAAATATCAATAAGCTCTCTAAAGCTAACTTTCATCATCATAGCAGAGCTACAAACATGGGGGAAATTTGTTTATATCAAATGATCTCAATTCTCTGTCAACTCTTTTAAGAGTTCTTTTTTATTATTATTTTTTGAGGACAGAAATTTGGGGGCTCCTAACGACTACTAGGAGGGGCAGTAAAAAATCAGGATGACCATAGTCACTTTTAAAATTATAAAGACATCCCTCTACCATTTATAGTTTTCCTTAGGAAACATTTAACCAATTTTCTTCATTTGGAGACCCTTCTCATATCACCACATATAGATTTTAAAAGCACTTAATTTTAAACATTATATTGTCTAATTGTCTGATCGTGAGTAAACACACAATAACATTATATTTCCTTCCACAGAATCTACCATTTACTTCCACACACTAATTTAATCTCTCAAAGATGATTCTTGGTCCTGGCGGATTGTGTCTGCAGAAGGAAGTTTTTGCAAGCCTAGTTCAGAGTAATTCTGTAGGATGAAACATCCCTGCTATATACAGCAAAAAAGGTAGTGTGGAAGAGACGGGCTACTTCTCTTCTCTCAAGGCTGCTAAATGTCCTTACATGGTCCTTTGATCTCTCCTGGGAGTCTTCGAATTCAAGCAGAGGCCAATGTCTTCCTCAGCTGTCTGGTTCACAAATTCTTCTCACTGCTCTGGCAGGTACTAATGTGTTTACATAGGTGTGCCCAGCTTTCAGAGATGACAACAATTTAAAATTGTTTAGCACATTGGGAAGTCCTCTACAACACGTAGAACCATAGTTCTGCAGGTAGGGGTAGAAGTGAAGAGAAAGGGTTCCTTCCGGTGTGCATATGGGGGGGGGATATATGTGTGTATGTGTGTTGTTGTATCTGTATATTCACTATATAAACCAAATATATGTTCCTATACTTCCCTTTTTAATTTCTCTGATTTTGTTTTGTCATTTAGTATAAAGTTCACGCAAATCTTGCACTTCCTCTCCTGGTTTGTCCTGAGAAATAAAAAGTGGCTCTTCTCTAAGTGGAGATGGAGCCTTTCTTGTCTCAGGGGCTAGTTTTCTTCCCTTTTTGCAGACTACCTCAGTTTTTTTTTCCCTCCCTCCCTCTTTTGTAGCTGTGGCAATGGCTTAAAAAGTTCTGTCTCATTTTTTATTCTTGTGGTCTGAGACCCGATTTTCAGCACTTGTGTCCCAAAGGACCCTCAACATGGACGCCCTCTTCCCTCAGCCGTGCTCATTAAACGCCAGGCGCTTGTGTTTTCCCTGCGTCTTTAGTTCCACTCAGCCTGCTGCACTCTGGTAAATTTGTTTTGAGATCACCTTACCAAAGACAGCCCTAACCTCTGAGGACTCCTGGTACTGACAGGGGCCCCTGAGTGACAGCGGCTTCTCAGTCCAGAAGCCCAGAGAAAACGCTCCAGTTTGTAAGCTTTTCTGCTTGGCGAGCAGAGGAAGCCCCCCCATCCCACCCTCCAACACTGAGCGAGAATGACTCCATGAAGCAAACGGGATCACTTCTAGGGGCTCTGAGCCATTTCTCAAAACAGGGAAACTACTTCAAATCCTGTGTGGACAAGGGAAAATTGCTCAGCCCTAGAGTTAAAGTCTACCTTAAAACAAACAAACAAACAAAAAAACAAACTTAAATAACAGAATCCTTTCAAGTACCGAGTTACTCTGTGGAAGTAAATGGTGAAGAACAGTACATCAATCGTTCAAGGTAGATTCGAGGCAGTAGCTATTAGGTACACACAACAGTAAGAGGGGGCTTCCTGGGAAGCAGTCAGAAGATTGGCAGCACAGAACTGCTGTCTTCCACTTTCACTAGAAGAACCAATTTGCATCCAAATCACTGCTGTTTTAGTTACCCTCAAATATGTGACAGAGGTAAGGAAGAGGAAGGTGGAGAGAAAAGAAAGGAAGGAGGAAGGGTGGGGAGAGAAGAAAAGGATGGAGAGGAGACAGAAGGAGAGACTCAAAGAGAGGAGGAAGAGGAAGACCATGGTTTTATGTAGTGTAGTTGCTGACTATGGCTTTTGCTTCTCTATGGCTTTTGCTGTGAATTTGAGGGTGAGAATATTTACCTCTCCGAGATAGTATCACATACATTCCTCATGTGCTATATGTTCAATCAGGAGCCTTGTCTTCAGGAGTGTGTGCGTGCGTGCGTGCGTGCGTGCGTGCGTGCGTGCGTGCGTGTGTGTTTAAATCTAGTGTTGTCCCAATACTGTATTCATTTCAAAAGCAGACATTTGTATTTCGGCCCCAATAAGGTACAGTTGGATTTTTCCATTGGCCAGATGATTAAGTAGCCCCACAGTTCGAGACACGGGACCTGATTTTCAGAAGAAATCTGTCTTCAAGATTACAGGTCAAAGTAGAGGGAACAGAGACAGCGACTAGCAAGTGCAGTAACTGAGGCTTTCATGTCCCTAAATACCAGATCTGTCAATCACGGCTGTTTTAGAAAAGTTACTCTGATTCTTCGTCGTCATCACCATCATCATGATAGAAAAGTAAACGCATGCACCACCCCTCCCCACCCACACACAGGCACAGTGAGTAGCATTGGAGTCACAACACTTACTTAATTGGATGACACTCGAAACTGTAAACAGTTCATTTTTACAATGGGCTACAAAAAAATAGGTCCAAAGCCCCAGAGAACTTGTGTTGACCTTAAATAATGGTGTTTCTTGCATATGAGTAACATCTCCCCCTCTTACGTGATCTGAAAGCACGTTACAGTGGAGAAGAAATCGTAAAAGCTGAAGAACAGGTTAATTTTTTTTTTTTATCAGAATGGTAGTTTTCCCTGTTTTGTCTTCAGTCCACCAAAGTTTCAAAGACCTGTCTGCAAATGGCATTTCTGAAAGGCTTTTGTCACCAAAGTGTGTGAAGCCACTCTCTAAGAGGAGTTGGAAATTTTACACTAGCCCAGGATCTCTCTGAGTTGGCAGCTGGGACCCATCTGTAACGGTGTTAGCTGGCCTGAAAGCAGAAAATTAGCGACCCCGAAGCCTGGCTGGCTGTTTAGTCTGTAGAAATGGGTTGGGCGGAGCAGCAGACTCTGGAGAAAAAGAAACCCCATGCTGGAAGGAGAGCTTATTGTGAGAAACTGGACTGCTGCCGGTGCCCATCCTAAGGCGTGGGAATCTCCCTGTGCAGGTATTAGCCTAGGTCTGACCCAGAGGAAGAGACAATTGTGGGGGGGGAGGGGAGGAAGAGGATGGAAGCTTGGAGGAGAGGGATGCGGGAAGGTCACCTGGTCCACCTTGAGGCCATCTTCTTTTCAGGGCAGCAGAAGAAAAGTGTGACCTCTGACAGAGCCAGACGTCGGAAAGGAAGCTCCAGCTAATGTCATGCCCATGAGATGACCATCTCATCAGACCGTCACTCCTTTGGTCTTTATCAAACAGATTTTGAAACATCACATTCATGGATGGTTCACTCCATCCATGAAAATGTCACCTCACTCGTTTACCAACTATTACCAGTATACAAACTGACCCAATCTCTTCAGGTAAAAGTCGTGAAAATGAGAAGCAAGCACCGGAGAATCCAGAAGCTAGGTTCGCTTTAGGTGTCAGATGGAAACACAGGAGTTTAATGTCTTGCTACGATGCTGCGGGTGATCATATTAAAGTGTAATTAATTTTAAGAAGCCAACCTCATCCCCTTCTAGGTTTAGTTTATCCTGAAGACCACTGAGCAAGTTGGGCTGCAGTAAAAGCATTAGTGTCAAAGGGGCCAGTAAACAGCAAATTGTCTCTAGAAGAAAGACAAGAGGCTTGCCCAGACAGCCCCTGTGGGGGTTGTGGTGGGATATGCTAATAATGCCCAGCTACAGGGACCAGCCTCCCTTCCCATCCCCCAGGAATATATAAAGAGCCCTAACCTCAGCCACAGACCGACCCTGGCCAACAGGCGTTTGTCCTTGTTAATTACAGAGAAACAATCCCAAACCCGGGAGCTCCGCCTGGGTTTGCAGGCCCGCAGCAAGCCAGGGACTGGCGTTTCACCCTCTCCGCTGAATCCTGGTATTCCCACCTGCTTCTCTGAAGAATGGACATGACGGACAGCTGCCAGTTCTCACCTTCTGAGTACTTCTATGAAGGCTCCTGTATCCCCTCCCCAGAGGATGAGTTTGGGGACCAGTTTGAGCCGAGAGTGGCAGCCTTCGGGGCACACAAAGCTGAGCTGCAGGGCTCAGACGATGAGGAGCACGTGCGTGCACCTACTGGCCACCACCAGGCTGGTCACTGCCTCCTGTGGGCCTGCAAAGCTTGCAAGAGGAAGTCCACCACCATGGATCGACGCAAGGCTGCCACCATGCGCGAGCGCAGACGCCTGAAGAAGGTCAACCAAGCTTTCGAGACGCTCAAGAGGTGCACCACAACCAACCCTAACCAGAGACTCCCGAAGGTGGAGATCCTCAGGAATGCCATCCGCTACATTGAGAGCCTTCAGGAGCTGCTGAGGGAGCAGGTGGAGAACTATTACAGCCTGCCAGGACAGAGCTGCTCCGAGCCCACCAGCCCCACCTCCAACTGCTCTGATGGAATGGTAAGCTTCAACTCCAGGATCCACTATCTTTTACCATAGTCTCTGTGAAAAGTCCTGGTACCTCTTCTAAACCAGGTATAGTGGGATGTTTGCTTTCAGAGTAGTATTCACAGAAAGATTTAGAAAGAAAGAAAGAAAGAAAGAAAGAAAGAAAGAAAGAAAGAAAGAAAGAAAGAAAGAAAGAAAGAAAGAAAGAAAGAAAGAAAGAAAATCTGTCATATAGGATTTTAGCTTGATTTCCTAGCTGTTTCTAGATGCACATGGATGGTAGTAAAAGGTTGGCATGTTCTTAAGTGACCAATGAAGTGTTTTCTCTGTTATTTCTGCCTTACAGCAGCCACCCAGTGTATATAACTCAGTAAAGAATTAGAAAGTGTCCCCAGCATCATCCTAATTTCTGCTTTGAAGCCGGGATGCTAGGAAATGTTGATACATTGTTTTCAAGAGGACATCTGCTCCAGTGTTGGCAGGTTTTAATGTTTTTGCCCTGGGAAAGTGTTCTCTCCCCGAATTAGTGTGGCTTCTTTCTACCACAATCCATTTTGCATGGTTAACCCAGTACACATTGCTGCGGGATTTCATCGTCTTCTCTTTGCTTCCGTTTTCCTCTTCTCCCAGCACCGAGACTGACCTTGGTGCCCTGGCGATTTGGAGACAGCAGCCCCTTCCTAAATCAGTGCGGCAGAGGGGACTAAGACTATTCAGTTTCCTGAATAGGGATCTTACCCTAGGTCTGTTTGTCTTTTGCCAAGGTTTGAAAACCATATTTCTGTGTGGTTTGTCTTACAGCCTGAATGTAACAGCCCTGTCTGGTCCCGAAAAAACAGCAGCTATGACAGCATCTACTGTCCTGATGTATCAAATGGTAAGAAGTAATAACTTCAGACACAGTTAAAGATCTGTTCAGTCTCATAAGTCAGTCTGCCATGGCAGTCTGTCTTTCCCAGCAGTGTTTGGAAAAGGAATAAAAACGATGGCTGTCATGGGGGAGGCTTTGGACCATTTTCTGCTCCAGATTACCCTGACAGACAGACAGACAAACAGACAGACAGACAAACAGACCCACATACACACATGCACGTGCATGCACCCCCTCAACACACACATACACACTCACTTTTGCTTGAAATATTACCAGAGGTCTTCCACACCTCTACCCTCGGGAATTGCTAGCTATTTACTGCAAATTTTTACATCAGTCTCTCTGTGATCACCTGACCTATGCGGTCAAAGGTGCTGACCTACAGTTTAAAAGGGCACCACAAGCAAGCCTGTCTGCATGAGGATAGTTTTCTTAAAGCACTTTTCTCCTTGTGCTGTTAGCATGTGCTGGAGATAAAAGCTCCGTGTCCAGCTTGGATTGCTTGTCCAGCATAGTGGATCGGATCACATCTGCAGAGCCGTCTGAGTTGGCTCTTCAGGACGCAGCTTCTCTCTCTCCAACTGCCAGCACCACTTCACAGCCTGCAACCCCAGGATCCTCCAGTTCCAGACTTATCTATCACGTATTATGAACTATCTCCTGATGATCAGTCCTGCTAGGGGGTAGTACTACACCTGAGAAACGAAGCCCCGCGTCTGAGCAGAAGATAAGCTGTGCAGAATATATACTTTTCAATTGTAGATACTGTCCTGCCACTTTATAAGAAAATGTATTTAACTGAAAGTCACATTTGCAATAATGACTGCTTCTCTGCCTGTTCTTTTTGTTTTCTGTTTTAGCTTTGGTTTGCTTTAGATGTTTTCCAAAAAAATATTTTTCCAATGGAGGGAATTAAGTGACAGTTGCTTATAGTAATTCTTAACTTATATATTGTAAATATTGCTCATCAAAATAACTTTGGTTTTTAGAGCTCTATTTTGTTTTCTTCAAAAAAACATTTTAATAGCTTGGAATCCATTACAGGGAATAAAAAATATATATTTAACTTTTGCTTCTCTCTTTAAACTTTTGTTAATAATGTATCAAATGAAAATATAACAATTCTGCCTAATCATATATATTTTCATCTTTTCTTATAAGAACTAGTTCTTTCAATGTAAGCAATAAATAATAAATTGTGGATAAAATTGTGTAAATTTCACTATAAATAAAATTGTTAACTGAAATAATTAATTTGTTTCTTGGCCTTTAAAAATAACATCCCTAATGAAATTAGCAAATCATGAACATGAAACACTGATGTATGTGTTAAATATAATTACACAGTTAGCCTTCTAGATAAGTATGAAAATAATTTATGAATTTCTTTTAGACTTGTTGATATCACCTATAAAAATATCACATTTCCATTTTAAACATATTTCAAGAATACCTGGTAAATGAAGCCCCCTTTTCTTTGTTGCTATGCCATACAATGTCAAGTTTTATATAAAAAAGGATAGTAAAAATTTACAGGATAATATTATTTGTTTAAGCAAAAAGCCTAAAAGATATTATCTCATTTTAGTGTACGCAGTACTTTGCCAATCATGAGCCAGGTTTTATTGCCTTCTTGTATATGCCTGAAAATAACTTGATAAATAGATATACTATTATTATCAAAAAATATTTAAAGGAGGTGAATATTTTCCTATTATTAGAAAGCCAGCATAAGAAATCTTCAAAACTATACCTCAAAGTGAAATATATGGTATCGTCCCTCATTTTTGTAGTCTTTTAGAAGTTTCGTTGTCCACATTATGAATGTGTGTATATAAGCACCTATGAGGAGGACAGGTACTTTTTATTATTCCCTTGAATCTCGTCTGAGGAAACTGAGATGAAAATTGGATGATTAAACAGAAAATTAAATTGAGATAATCATTGAGACATTTTTTGGGTAAGTATTCCACCTGTGAGGGATAGAGAGCAGATGTTAATAGAGGCCAAATATAGAACATACTCTCATCCTTTTAAGTTGCTTGTTTCATTTTATTTTTTGGAACAGGTTTTGCTCTTGTAGTCCTTGCTGATCTCAACCTCACAGGCTAGCTGTGAGCCTGCTGTGATGGCTCTAACTGTACCTCTTAACTGCTAATATCACAGTGGGCACCCCAACTCAATCTCTGACTTGACTATTTGTATAAAATGGCTTAAGATTTTGCATGTAAACACTACTCCAGGTTGGCAGTACTCCTGTTCTCCAGGAGGCTTCACTATATCCGATTGGTTGTGTGTGTGCATGCTTGTTCAGGGATAAGGCTCAAAGGCATTTAAGCCATTACATAAAGGAGGGAGAAGGCCTGAATTAAGATCTGATTGTGGCCACTGTCACTAAATTAGCATGGTGATACCATAGTATGGGTGGTTGCTTCTACACAGAAAAAGTCTTTCTTTTCCATGACTAGGGATCATTAGGATCTACATGAAGAGGATCCAAGATAAAGATAAAGATAAAGATTTCTATGTGGTTTAACATAAATTTGACTTATTAACTTGTACTATGCAAATTTCCTCACTCGCTGTTTCTACAGAAAATGGAGAGGTTCATTGTCCTTCCTTATTTTACTAAGAACAAACTTACTCAAACGCTGCTTTTGAGGTCAAGTTTTAAATGTAACCACATCTGTTCCATTAAATTAGTTTCTCTCCTATGGGAGAGCACACCAATTAGTTATCTAATACCGATGGTCAACTGGTAAGCATATATACACAAGTAACATTATATGGACTGAGAAGATTGTATTTATGTGTTTAGGAATATATATTACTATATACAAAAATTATATATATATTTCTCTACATAAAAATGTTTATATATAATTTTTTAAGGGCTATGAATTTGAAAAAGAGAAAGGAGGGAAATATATGGATAGGCTTGGGAATGAAAAAAAAGGATAAAAGTGATATAATTTTATTATAATAGAATATTAAATATTAAAATTAATATTAAGTAAATATATGGCAATAATTTTAAATTTTAATATTAAAAACTCTAGGAAAATACAGTTTTATAATTCCCTACAAAGCTGAAATAAGATGATGTAGAAAATGTAATGAAGCTTTTCACTTAAACGTAATAACACTGACTTTATGAAATCTATTTTTACAAGTGCACAAGAACACTTGATACCTTCAATGAGTAATAGAAAGTATTTCTTTAATTGATATATGTATTTTTTTATAAAGTATTCAGACTATTGAGAGCTTCCCCAGCTCTCAATAGCTCAAATGGTGAGGAGCAAAACTCTCAAAGCCAGACTGTCTAATGAATCATGTTTTTAACATCACTCGGGAGGCTGGGGGCCTGTTTAGCCAACAGCCCACCACAACACATTATCTTCAGTCTATCCACTTCTTCTTGCAAGAAGTCCCCTTCCTCCTTTGGAAACTGGTCCCCTAATGACTGAGACCAAGAGAAGACTTCTTTACTCTGAGGACACTGCAGGGCAGGAGAGACAACATAACTGAGAAGCAAGCAGCAAGGTCTTTGTCATCTACAACTCTCAGGCAGTGAACACCTCATTTGGCTGCCTCTGAGTTCATATTAGACCACTTCCGTTCAGCTGAGGGTCTAACCTACAGACAAAGAAGTAACAGACAGCATTGTTCCTTAAGCTAAAAACATGCTGGGGAGGTGTTTCCCAGGAAAGGGGCTGGAGAGCTCCCTTTTTCTCATACCCACGATGCACGTTCACTGAGATACGTGTGACAATTGAGTCTAGGAGACTGGAGAGACGGGCAGCCACCATACGGAACGCATGAGTAGCTAATTGCTATACTCGAGATCTATATTGTCTTCGGTTTCCGTCCACTTGAAAGATGTGAGAGAGATGAAATTCAAGGCTATTTAATACCCATACATTCCTGTTTAGAATGGCTTCCTTACTCTTATTTAATCTGAGAGTGGTATTTCCTGGAACTCTCCCTTTGGGGTTATAACAGTTGTTAGATTAAAGAAGAAATTTAATTCTCTGTCCTATGAGGAGGTGGTGTTTCTGGGAATAATATTAACGTACAGCTATTTGTTCCCCTAGAAAAGCCCTGCTTGAATAACAAAGGACTTCTAAAAATATTAGCATCTAATGCTCTCACATTGACCACAAAGCACAGAATATTAAATGCATTTGCCTACAGAATTTTATAAGTATTTTAGTTGGTTACTGATTTACTTTGTAATAAGATTATAAAAATTGACCACTATAGTTATTACACTTATAAAGTATTTTAAAAGTTATCCTCCGCAAAGCAGAAAGTAGGACAGATCCTAACTCCATACCAGTTAACACACATTACTATAGGAGAAACAGGAGATAATAAAAAAGCAATGACTAACAAATATTGAATTTTTATTGTACAAATAAGAGATGCAAACCGTAAACAGCAGTAATTCCTGAGAACACATACCTAACAGAACTACTTCCCGTTGCATGTTTCAGGAGACTCAGGCAAACATTTGCAAGGCTTCTTATAACTTGACAATTAAAAAAAAAAATCAGTATTTGTGCTGTATTTTCTGGACCAGTTACTTGTCTTACTGCTGTAGCCTCAACAACAACAAGAAATACTCAACAAGAGGAAAAATGAGAAAAGAAGTGTTTATTTTGGTTTATACTCTATCGGGGGTGGATCAGCATGGTAGCAAGAGAAGGCAGCTGGTCACATTGCATTTCCGGAAGCTAAGAATGAGGAAGAAATGGGACTGGATTACAAAGCATAAGGCCTACCTCCAGTAGCACACTTCCTCTAGGCAGCCTCACCCTCTTAAAGAGTCCACTATCTTCTGAACTGTTGTCGCCACCTTCTGAAATTCTAGTGTTCAAACATATGAGATGGTGGGGCCATTGTACATCCAAACCATAATTCTCTTAGTAAAGCAAGTTATAATAGTCAGGCAAGAGTTATAAAGAAGGAAGTAAACCCACTTCTTTTGGTGGTGGGAAGAGTCACGTGTTTGTCTCTTATTTATCACAGTGACTGGAACTCTCTATTCCTTACTTTGTACTCAATTCATTTCTTGATTTGTGTTTCTAGCATGACCCATGACATTTGACAGTCTTGGAATATGTCCTGGTCAATGTTATCCTGCTCTGGCAGATAACGTCTATCTAAATATCTCTAACTCAGCATACTTCAAATTAGGCTCACTGTCAAATGTAACGCAGCTCAATGCACAGCTTTGGGAGCCAGATTATATGGCGAATTCACAAGGTGCACCAAGATGCCAGCTGCTCTGTGTTTCCCAGTATTGGATCCCAATACTGACTCATATAGTAAATAACACCATAGATTATTTCTCCCATGTCTGTCTCCCTTCCTCTTACACTCTTGTCTAAGTCAGTATACAATGCCCTTAGTTTACTTTCTTAAATACTCTACAAATCTACCCCCCCCCCGCACACATACACACACTATGACTCTTTCCCTCCAAAGTTGTTATGGAACCTTATCAGCCTTTCACGGTTATCTACTTCTGGCTATAATGTACACATTTTGTGGTAAAGACTTGATATTTCCTCTTCTAGGGTCATGAGGTTCATGGGATTGACACTATGTGCTGCAAAAGTGAACAGGACATTCTGTTCTGTCCATATGTTCATCCTCTTCTGTGGCAGCAGTGATTATTTAATAGATAGACATAGCACTCAAATTGCTCAAATAGTGCCAGCCTTGGGATCCCTCTTCCTCCATATCTCCTTCACTATCTTCCTCCCTATTTGCCTCCCTCCCAGTTTCCTCTCTACCTCTCTACCTCACTCACTCACTCACTCACTCACTCACTCTCTCCCTTGTTAGTAATCTGTTAAACTCCACCTCCACAGTCACCTGGCAACAGCCAGGTACACTCTGCCCCACAGTTACCTGGCAACAGGCAGGTAACCCTGCCCACTATAAAAGGGGCTGCTTGGCCCCTCCTCTCTCTCCTGCTCCACTACCCCACGCACTTGTAGGCTGTTGTCTCCCCTCCCCCCTTCTCTTCCCCCTCTCTCCATGTGGTCATGGCCGGTCTCCACTTCTCTGCCCTCTTTCTCCTCCCCCCACTCTCCCACCCTCTTAATAAATCTCCCCTTATGGAACCATCTAGTCTGCTGTGATCTGTCTAAGCTGCGGGTGAAATCCTTTTATTGGTGCATTGGCCGGGAATCAAACCCCGGTCACTCGCGTGGGAGGCAAGACCCTCCCTATTTGCCTGCCCCCCAGTTTCCTCCCTCCTCCCCTCCCTCCCTCTCTCTTTTATTTCTGCTGACAATATTGTGGATAGAGCCTAGGGCATCATACATGCTAGGCAAGTGCTCTTCCACTGAGCTGCTATAGCTTTAACCCTTGTTGGAACTACAAGGAAAAAGAATTCTCTTTCTGCCAGAGTAGTAATATATGAGATTTTTATTTTGTTCAAAGCAGGCAACTGACTTAACCAATGAGGGCAGCTCCTGCCTCATGATAAAGCCCACACAGTAGATACATTCCTGAAAATGATCACTGGGCAAACAGATCCTAAAATGCCTCAATATCTGCTCTTTCCTGTATTTGATGCTTCTTGGAGCTGACAATTTTAAAAAAAATTCGGTAAGTGTGTGGATGTTATTAACTGAAACAGGCATAGTTTTATATAATTCCATTGTCTGAATACTCTTAGCAATT